GGATAACCCGCTGTCCTGAAGGTCAATCATTGAACTTGTACCACACAATCAGCCGGTCGCTGTTTGCAAATCCCAGTGTGCTCTGCGTAAACAGCCCCCTCTCTCCCTCTCCTAAAACTAGTTAGGAATCCTGTGTACAGTCCAGCGCCGGAAACGCACTGAGAATAGAAGAGAGCGCAAGGCTGAGACTGTGGACTAGATCAGGCCGGACACTAGGTCAAGTCTAACTGAACCACTCGGCGCCCCATTCCTCCTCAACAGTTCCAAATAAAAAACAGGCGTCACAAGAGGGGAAAAATGCTGAAGGATACCTCGCTACATTTGTTATATTTTTTTTGTGGCGGTACATGTACTGAATTAGGAGATTTATGCAGATGGAAGTTATCAAATCTTGCAAAACGTTGCGGGTTTGTAAGGTACTCCACGCCGATATTGAGTTAAAGTTGTTACTGGTATATATATTTATATATATATATATATATAATGGGTTTACCTAGTAAAATCAGCTCCATAAACTTAAAAATTAACAAGCGAACGGGAGATTCGAGAACCCGCTCTTATTTGCACGTTGGACCAATTAAAAACATTTACAAGAGATATTTTTTGCTTTGCGCATCCTCAAACGTCGGAGCGGTATTTACTCAAAAGGCCCAGGAACCAACAATCCAATTCCAGCGGACTTTTTTTCTGGCGGAGAAATTAAGAGTCACTTAATCTCCAGCAATCAGTGTTTGCACAGTAAAACAAAAACGCCTCACGTTGCGAGAAAAAAACATTTTGTAAACATCCAAGCGGATTAAAGCGTGGGAAAAAAAATCATTTGCTTAACTTGGTGCCAGATTATTAATGCTGCTGCCACAAACGCTTGATTTATATGAGAGAATTCTGATTATTCAAAAACTAGAATTATTTAAAGATTAAAAAAAAACAAATTTTCCACAGCATCTGGAAAGTCTCTCTTTTTGAGCGATGGTTAATCTTCAAGTCTGAAAAAGCTATTGTTGCTAAACTACTGGGCTATCAACTGTTTGCTGTTTGTACTGTTCTTCACCATAAGCTATTGTAATTGCAAACTTTCTAGTATTTCTGTTAGTTAGCATGTTCAGCAAATCAATATCGGCTACTTGGGTTCCCATCCACTCTACACACCAAAACTGGTCTACAGCCCACAAAACTGATTATTTACACTATTCCCCCCCCTTCCCACACCCCCCCACACCCCCCAACCCCCCCCCCCCCCCCCCCCCCCCCCTCCCCTTAGTGCATCTCACTCTGCAAACTGCATACGTTATTTCATCATTCTAAGCACTAGGAATTAAATGCACCGTACAAATCACTGGAAGATGGTATATGATAGGAATTCAAAAATACTTTGTTAACCGAAAATATGATATGATATTATTATAAATCAAAATGGAGTATTGCACTTGACAATAATCAACGAATTTCTGTTCGTTGGTAAACACCAAGACACTTTTTTTTCACATTCACAAGCAATGAATACAAACTCAAAGTTCTCCCTGAAAATGGATTCCTTTCAACTCAATCTGCCAAATAGTGACAAAGCACCAGGAATTTTACTAAAAATCCAAACCTATTGATTTGGCAATACAGGTCCCGCAAATTTCGTTTCACTATCGCTTGTTTTTAAACTGATGTATACTGACCTTCGCTTTAAATATTCTCAGATCAATTGTTACCCAGTTGATTGTGGGAGATGTAAATGGCTGAATTCCTATGGTTATCTTTCTGACCTTACAGGCTTCAGTACACTAACACTGAACAAATAATGGGCAAACTGTGATCCCACCTGGAATTAACCCCACGTTTTACAATAAAGTTGAAGTTAATAGAAATCCTATTTCAACCATCCAACTGGGAGTTTGATAGTATTTTTGAGAACGTTAGAGAGATAAAGAGATAGACAGATCAAGATGGCTAGATAAAGACACAAATATAGATAGACGGTCAATTCCTTCACAATTCAAATCAAATAGTATACAGTGTACAAAACAGAGTCAATATAGGAGTCACATATTAAACTGTGTTGCTGTGTAAAACGATAACATTTATATATAAACAAACATAGTTTCACAGTCAGCAGATGTTATTGTATTTTCAAATTAGCACATGTTGGTTAATTAGATAAAATATATACATATTTAACCCAGTTCAAATGTATTAATTTAATAATGAGACATTTATATATGCAGTATATATGAAATATGAAGTGTTTATATTTCAATCTGAAGAAAATTCAACAATATTATTAGGACAGACAGACAGACAGCCAGACAGACAGACAGACAGACAGACAGACAGACAGATAGATAGATAGATAGATAGATAGATAGATAGATAGATAGATAGATAGATAGATAGATAGATAGAATACTCATAGAAAAATAATAATATTTCTATGCAAAAAATACTCGTTATATGACTTGACTCTATCCGCACTAATAGGCATTCAACGTGCAAAAAACAAAATGTATTTTAGATGAAAAGACTGATTAATTCAGACATAACATGACTTCCAAAGCAATCACTTGCTTCGGAAAAGGGAGCTTTGACAAAGATAATAACACTCAAATATATTGTTTATCACTTGAGCAATCCGAGTTCTCCTAATGTTTGTTTCACAGCTAGATCACACATGCGTAGCACGAATACTCCTTGAAATATGCCGGAACAATTTTGAAGACCACTCGGAAATAAATGGGACTTTCTGACAAGACATTTTTTTATATCAGGATTTTACTTTATTGTCAGAAAACGTACACAAATAACATTAATTTATTTTAAACGTGTTAAAATTTACAAGACATTTCTTCCCCTAAATACTGATGGCGGACTCTTGGACATTGTGTCGTCAATCGCATGAGATTTTTACACAGGTAATATTTGCAGGTGAATCTCACAATAAAGCCTACAAACTAACAATATATGATATTAACAGCGCCTATACAGAAGACCAGAGCTGAAATCGATCAAGCCAAGACACATCCAGCGTATATAAGACAAACTATACATGGAAGAACAATCGTACATTATGATTCACAACTTGCTTTGGAGGAAAAAAAACTTTGCATATGTTCCCTTTCAGTTAATAATTCCAGTAATATCGGTAACAGCAACTGGATATATCTGCTGAGAGTCTCTCTCCCCCATTCCCCCACCCCGCCTTCTCTCTCGCTTTCACTCTTCCCCCCTCTCTCTCTTTCTCCCTCTCTTTCCCTCCCTCTCCTTGGGGGATGGCGGAATTTAGCGACAGATGCACTTGAACTGGTCTACAACCGACTCAAGTTCACACAGGGAGCCCACTTAATAGTACAACTCAAAGAAATCACCCCTCCACCCCCCCACCACTTGCTTCCCCCAACCCCCCACCCCTCCCCTCCTCACCCACCCACCCCCCCGCCCCACCCCCCGCGCGCGAAAGAAATATTCTAATACATTTCAATACCATAAAAGTGTAAACCTTGATGCTGTTTATTAAGTTACCATTTCATAAGAGTGAATCTTTGTTTATTCAACCTTTCCAGGACAGAATGTGTTTCGTTTCACACGTTCCCTCCAACCGCGTGGAGCTCACAATCGTATACGTACCAGTCGGTTACATTTTATTTTTGAGATGAATTTTCATATATATATATATCAAAAAATGGCGTTCAACCCAATGATGACACAATGTAAAATAGGCTTTTTTTTATACATAAAAGAAAAATTGACGAGTTTCACAGGAACAGATGGCGATCGTAACATGTTGTCTTTGTCTGTTAACCGAACAGTGATTTTGTTTTTGGGGGGGAGGATGGGGTGGTGGGGTTGGGGTAAAGAGAGGAAAGGAGCATATAGCCCGTAGTATGAAGATTTGTGGATTGAATATATATATATTGTAGAGTCTGTCTGCTACCCTCAGATACAGTCACCTGAGCACTTTGTGGGTTGGTCGTTGAACGGCAAAAGGCCTTATAATGTATTACTCCCATATCCAACAGAGGTTGTCTTAGAAACATAGGAACAGCAGTAGGCCATTCAGCCCCTCAATCGTTCTAAAAGAACTTACACTGCTATACTGCTTAGCGTAAGATAATCACAACTATACATTAATATATGTCGAAAGATAGAACCCGTGGCTATCTATTACTGTCCTTTAAGTTGTGCAGGCATAGCCGTGTACAGAAAATATACATAGGTACATGCACCAAAGAGCTCTATACTGTGCAAATATGGGACATAATTGAACACAGCATTCACTTTTTGCAGCTCATTTTGCAAAGTCTCCAACACAGTACAGTACTGAAAAAACAGCATTTAAATAATTTTGCGGTTAAAGATTCAGTTTTTTCACCATTACTTGGCGTTCAATGAATGAATGAATGAATGAATGAATGAACGGCCCCTGTGGAATTAATGCGAAGTTTTTGTATAAAACGGATTTTTTTTCTTCGGTGACTGGTCCTGAAATACTCAACCTATGATATCGATTACTCCTGACAAATCGATTTATCGAGCTAGTTTATTATTACCTTCTAACTTTCCTTTGCATCGTCTTTTCATGTGTTTTTAAAATTAATTCTTCGTATCACTTCAGTATATAAAAGACATTCAGGAAGAACACAGGTGGATACAAAACAAACAGAGTTATTTCTGTCCATTACACCCCACTAGGTTGTGTTTGTTGCCTAATTTGATTAACTGAAGTCGAGCACATTTGCATAAATTGCAAAGATTCGCCCTGGATCTGTCCGAGTATTGCGAACAATTTGATTATTTCAGTGTGTGCGTGAGTGCGAGAGGCTGTTTATGTGTCTATCTGGGTGGTGTATGTATGTGTGTGGCGCTGTATGTATGTGTATGTGTGTGAGGCTGTTTGTATATCTGTCTGGGTGATGTGTGTATGTGTGTGACGTTTTATATGTGTGTGTGTGGGTGGGATTGTATTTCTGAATGTGTGTATGCCTGTATGTGTGTGTGGTTGTATTTCTGTGTGTGTGCATGTGTATGAGGTTATATTTCTGTGAGTGTGTGTGTGTGTGGCGTTGCAATGTTCGTGTTTGTTTTTCAGCAAGTATCAAAAACAAAGGAATATTGTCTTTTTTTTCGCACCTAAAAGAAGGTTAGCGCTTGCTCTCTCATTTGCAGTCTTTTCTTTTTCATCCGTCGGTTTTGGAACCAGATTTTCACCTGCTGGTCGCTGAGATTGAGCCGGTCTGAAAGCTCTCTCCTCCTCTGTCGAGTAATGAACTCATTCATCAGAAACTCTCCTTCCAGCTCCGCGATCTGAACCTTAGAATAAGGTTTCCGCTTTTTCCGGGTTCTGGCGTGAACGGGAAACCACGGAGTCCCTTGTTTCCCCCCCAAAAAAAATCCATGGCGTCAAACGTGCAAGGAAGAGGAGACAGAAGAAAAACAAGAATTTTCAGTTGAAAGATGGCAATGATTTATTTGTTAAACATTTCACCTTGAATGAATAATAATAATAATAATAAATAAATCTTGGATTTATAGCTCTTAATGTAACGCTTGTCTGATCTCTTCAGAATGGAGAATTCTACACATTCCGACAGCCGCATTTTGCCTCAGTAAATCCGCCGTTACGCTTCCGCATGCTTTCCCCCCATAAAACCTGCCAGTTACTACAAGAAAAAAACTCAGCAATAATTATTTTTCCTCCAAAACACTGCAACTGGAAAATGTAGCTCAATATTGACTATTTTAACACGAGTATATATATATATATATATACAATATTATGTAATATATATATAAGACCTATCCTGCCCTTTATTCCTGGCTTTATAAAATATTTTAAAAGTTTATTTTATTTTACACGTTGTCCTGATTGCATTGAACGCTGTTAAAGGAATGTATCTTAGAATTGTTTTAGAAACAAAATAACATTTCAGATAATAATAATAATAATAATCATTGCATTTGATATTGCCTCTTTGCCACGTCTCTCAGAGCGCTTCACTGAATGTACTGTAAAGTGTAATTATCATTGACTGTATATTTTTGTGGGCGAAACACTAACATGCATTGAGGAAAGGTGAGGTTGGAGATATGTGTGTGGGTGTGTGTGTGTGTGTGTGTGTGTGTGTGTGTGTGTGTGCTTACCTCCGGCAGGTAGAGAGTTCCCATGGGTGATTGGCGAAGCGAGAGCTGAATTATTGCCACAATTCTTTTCCTGGTCATTCATCAGAGGCGAGTTGGAGTCTGACTCCAGCGGGTGACACGCTCCGTGTTCCTGGTGCGGTAGCGACTCCGACCCGGGATAGTCGTATTTGGAGAAATTAGCGCCGATCCCGTTCGGGATGGCAGATTCGTGCACGGGAAGCACCGAATTGTCCCGGATCCTCTCCTCTCGCTTCAGATTGGCCACGCTGTCCGACCCGCCATCTCGGTAGTAGCTTTTGCTCTGCTCTTCCACTCTGCCTATGTCGCAGGTTCGATTGAATGAGGGGTTAATAGAAACTGTGTTACCCAGATAGGACTGCGGGTATCCATTACATTGATCTGAGACGGGCCAGGGCAGGGAGCAAACATTGTCCCTTCTCGGGTAAGATAGGGACGATAATCCCGCCAATTGCCCCCCAGATGTTCTGAAATTTGGGAAGTAGAAGGCATCTCCCGTATGAATGTTTACCAGGGGTCCCACAAAGCTTGGATTTAGCAAGTTATGTTCGCCCATTTCCGCGGGCCTGACGGAGAGCGTCTCCAGTTTATTACAATCTGACATTAAACATAGTTAAAGCGAGAGGTCTCCAGGATTGGCCGAGCGTTGTCATGTGGAAGCCATCTGGGTTTGAGTCAGGCCCGCCCACGAGGGGCAAAAAAACCCCCAAAAAATCCTGAAAACATAACTGTGATTGACTAATGCCTCATTGGGCACCACATTTTACACAAAGAGAGGTATTCCCCGCTTATATATGTACGTGTGGATATAAATATATATATAAAATGTGTGTGTATAAAGTATAATGATGACTTATGTTCATTCCAACTCCTAGATCATTCATTCATTCATTCATGAAGGCCCGAGCTAATTATTCATTATGGCCATATTATACCAAGCAGTACGGAGGTCACGGAATTAATGTGTGCAACTGATTTTCTAAACAATTAGAGCAAATAACGTTTCATTTCATTTAATGTGAAAGTTCCCCTGGCTGCAAACGTGGAGTTCCTTTAAATATTCCAAGTGATTTTTTTTCAAACGTGGGAGTTGATTTCACTTTTTTTTAATTAAAAAAAACACGAATGCCGTTCGATTAATGCACGGTTACTCGAGCACACTGCACGCTTCTTATTCTTTGCCGATCCTCAACAGTAAAAGCGCAAATTCTTCACTGAAAGAACTTGCATGAACAATATTTACCATTGCTTTGATATCTCAATAATCACCCATGAAACATATTGTATATCACCGCACGCTTCCTAGTTAACTGGATATTTAATAGCACATTAAGGCGCCACGTTACAACACCGCAATCGCAATAAGATATTATGGTGTTGGCGCGGATTTCTCTCCCATATTTATTCATTGTAAAAGCATATGACTAGAGTGCAATTATAATGCCTGGAAGCCAATAATAAAAGCCTATCTCCCCAGGATCTCCACATTCTTCTCGATCTGTCAAACCGGCAACCAGAGCACAATTGCTCAGTGGGTTTGTTTCCTGGGAATGCAATGCGACCCAATGCATTGATTTTATTACTCTGATGAAATATATTCAAAGCTCTATAGTAACTCTGGGCTGTATGAGAGTTTCTGAAATGTTATGCCTCCCGCGCTAACCAGCTATAATGGATGGTGTGTGTATGTGTGTGTGTGTGTGGAGTTGGGGGGGGGGGGGGGGGGTGCATTACTCCATTTAAGGATTAACTGGCGCCGAAAAGACTTGAATTGAATAAAGATTAATCACGCAATATGACCCACGTGGGTTTAATTAGAACTTTTGTTTGTTGGAATCATCCTTTCATTGTAAGAGGCAGCACTTGTTTTTTTTCTTGTCGTGAACATCAACATGCTCTGTTCACCATCCACAGTTTACACTAAATAAATGCCCTTTGCAAATAAAATTGACCACTGATCGGTATAAAATTTAGCTGAAATTCAGCCGAGGTCAAAGTTCTCATTTTTTTCTTTTCGCTTAAAAAAATACCCACGAGTTGTTATTACAAATCTGAGCACAATTTGGGTAGCTTTATAATTCATACCGTCGGTTATGTATTTCAGACCTTAATATTCGCTTTATGTTGAACCATAAATCTCAATTCGACATTTATTGTTGAATTTTTTTTAAAAAAATATGAAGTTGAATGGCCATTCGGTTTTCGGGTAAACACATATCCCCTCTCAAGAAAGAAAAGTTTCTCAAAAGATTCAAAAATAAATCTAGCAGAAATTCAAAGATATATAATAATATAAGTAAATACACATATATATCTACACACATATGTATGCGTACATATAGATATATATGTTAATTGATGCTCGGTTATGTTCAGTCATGGCATTCTGACAGCGAATGTATTGCAAATAAAGGGTAAACTGAACTTTTTTTTTAAGTTTCATTTTCGTTTGCTCTTAATTAAAAATCGACCTGAAACATTTGAGGGTGAGCTAATTGGGGTATTTTATTCCGTCTACTTTGAAAAAATAGAAAGTCTATTTTCTTAGTTAAGGTTATGGTTATTCATTGTCGGTTCCCAATTCCGAACGATTTGAGGCATCATCGATGCGGTTTTCCGTGTCTCGCAAGATGGCGTTATTTACAACCAAAATAAACACCTTCGTCCGCACAGACTCTTCCTCTGACTGCCCTAAGTGTGTCTCTCCACCGTCCACCATAATGAACCTGCCATATCCACTACACTTAAATACTTAGCATCGCTACAACTACATTGAACCCTGCGCTGACTTAGTTATTCAATTGAGCAAGATTCAATATGCCAAGCCAGTTCCAGTACACCATGACTAGGTCTCGCCTTGTTATTCGACCACTTGGAGGTGCATTATGATAAGTCTCTTTACGCTAATTTCTGTAAAAAGATGTGTAATCAGTAACCGGGTTAGTTACCCGATATTCTTTCAGAATTGGAATTATTTTTACGTCTTCCTCGAAAAATTTCAACGTCACCTTTGGTAAATTTAATTTGATAATATTTCAACTTAATGCATGACAGATTATCTGATATTGTGTTTATTGTATATGCATAGTGCCCCGGCCTGAATCCTGAGCCAAGAAACATGCTGGAATTCCAGTTCACTTACTCATATTCACGATGCCAGGACCACATTAGCTGTGCATAACCCAGCCTAAATTATTAACTGTTTTAGTAGTATTCAACTGTAGTGAATCCACAGTGGCCAAAAACAACAATACAGTGGGCCACATGTTTCCATTCCAGAAATGGAAATAACGTGTATTAGAAGTGGAGAGAAAGAAAGAAAGAGAGAGAGAGACAGACAGACACAGAAAAAGAGAGAGAGAGAAAGAAAGAAAGAAAGAAAGAAAGAAAGAGCAAAAAATAGAATGATTGAAAAAACACAATAAAGCCTAATTTGTACATTTTGCACACGAGGAGAGATGGAGAGGATGATTTTTCACTGTGATGGCGTACACCTGTTTTGGTTATGTTCATGAACACAAACACACATATTATATATAAACCCACACGCGTATTGTTAATCACACGCGTATTATTGCAAAGCAATGCACATTAGGGAAAATATCTGCTATTGAATCAGAACACGGCGGCAACAGATAAACAGAGAAAGCGAATAGATTCAGTTCCTCTTATATTCAGCAGTTTAAGAGGCAGACTGCACGTAAACAGAGAAAAACACAACCAGCGAATTTCTATCCATAAAACAACACATTCACAGTTGATTTTCACAAACAACAATAATACGTCATTCCTATTCTCTCTCTCTCTCTCTCTCTCTCTCTCTCTCTCTCTCTCTCTCTCTCTCTGGTTACCTGATTATCTGAGGTTTTAGCAGAAACAGCATGCGATCACAAGGAGTCAGGGCAGGAGGGAAAGAAGAACATATCCGACTCATCCATTTGTAACTCAACAGATGCAAACATAGGCCGGCGCCTATTGTATCCACTAACAAATACTCTTCCTTCCAAATAAACCCAGTTAAAACACTGAGCAACACTTCCAAACCGAAGGCAGAATATACAATGATCCTACAAGAGGGAGGGGTGGGGAGGCAGAGAGAGAGAGAGAACCGGGAAGGCACGGGAGATAAAGGAGGTTTAAAAGGAGGATAAAACGGTACCGTGTTCCGACTCAGTTCAAGGTCACTGTCGAGTGCACCGTCTGCTCCTTATTCAAATTGCAGACCTCGGAGGAGACGTCTTTTGGGGCTGGGACAAGAAAGGAGAGACTCGTAAAACTTGGGGGAGTTAAGGCTAAGCAGCAGAGACTGTTTGTGGAGTTGAACACATTGGGGTTTTTACACTAAGCCAAATACTACTCGCCACACACACACACACACACACACACAGAGCCTATTCCCGGAGCCAACGCCGATCGACCAAATCCAAGAAACTACAAAATGACTTCTGAATTCAATGTGTTGGGTGTGTTTTTTTTTGGTAATGTGTAATTTCGCATCACAGTGAGATGTTCGGAGACAAGGCCAGCGCTTGTGCCTTTTAATAGTGTCTGAGAGAGTAACGAGGTCTGGGCTACAAAAAGCCTTTAAACTCCTGATAATTATACGGGTATACCGCAGCCGTTTGATTGTCTGGTCAGACTGGAAACAATAACCTCCTCACTTCAAAAAGCAAGTGACACATCTCTGTCTAACCGACTAAAAAGGAAATTAAAAAAAAACTCAAGATTAACTCTCGGACCCGAACTATCGACTCTTTGTCAGTTCGATTTGGCTTTTTTTTTAACCAATGACTATTTTTCATATAAAAAAATATGAACTTGACATTTATTTAAAATGTCACCCACTTTCCAGGCAAATGGAACGTCTTTATAATCTTTGTAATCTGTATATGTGAATGTAGTTGTTGGTTGTGTATTTAACAATAGACTAGAACAGTTTTGCTGGTTTTTGGAATAATCCTATGTTGATAACCACTGTTGTGACAAATATCACAGTTATAGAGCAAGCAGGAAATATTCCGTGATACGGGATCGAAAGCAAGTTATAGATAGCATTTTTATATTTAAAAACATTCTTCCAAACATAATGTTTGCTATGAACTTATCTCTAAATAGGAAGCAATACTCATATTTTTTCCACACGCGCGCCACAGATTAATGTGAAATCATTGACAGGTGACGTCTTTCGAACGCAAATTAGATTTTTCTTTTAGGAAATAATATCTCGGGGATACAGTATATAGTTTGGGACACGACATGTCAAGCGACTGCCAGAAGAGTGGAAGGCGAACTGGATGGATTTTTCGTTTTCTTTCGTCTGGCAATTCTTATGTTCTGATGTGGAAGTGTTCTCCAATCGGTACCATTTATATTTTACCTAGAAGTTGGATTAGATTTGGATACGCACTATCTTTTGTTTGTTTACCCGGAACTGCTCTTGTGTTTTCACTCATCGAAAGTAAATCCGCTACACGACACTAACACTGGAGTTTTGCAACGCACAACGTATGTACTTTTACACAGAGGCAGTGTTTTATATTTTTGTTCCGGATTATATTCTTATAT